ATTATTATTATTATTATTATTAACACGCTCTGATGCTAAGGAGTTCTACTCCCCCTCCCCACCTGGAAAGAAATCTCTTCCAAATGCAAAACACAAGCAGAGGAGAGGAGATTCCGTTTCCGTTTCAGTTTAACAGCAGCAACCAGCTTTAGTACAGAACAGTTGAGCTAAGCCACGCCCAGGCTCCTTGATGTCTCTTTGCTCACACAGCAAATAATTTTTCAGTTTCCAAACAGCCCTCAACTCTCTCACACACTGACAGGACGCTAGCCAGATGAATACCGATGGATGCTGGTAGGCAGAGGCAGAATTTTTTTTTTTCTTATTTTCCTCCCCAAAAACTAAGCTCAACCACATAGTTTCGTAGTGAAGCACGGGTACAGAGCTAGTAAAAAAATAACCAAGAGCAATTAGGCCCACCTTACACATTCACAATAGCAAATTAGAGCGAATAAGGTCTCAGGCTAGTCTTGCACTGACTCCCTCAGTTGTAAGTTATTTCAGCATTTCCAAACCTTGACAACTTTTTTGAGACGAGTGGATCCTCAAAGCCCAGCCTGCCTTGCTTGGGAAATGCTAGGTTTTTTTTTTTTTTTTATTCAACTCTCTTCAAGTTACCAGAGGGAAAAGCCATCTTTCTCCCCAGGTTGGGATCGATGTCTCCCAAATTTTAGAAGTCTCGATGCAAGTTCCAGAGAGTGGTTGTAAGTTTGCAAGGACCCTTTTGGGGGGAAAGGTTAGGCTCCGATCCCTCAACCAAGTGGGACACAACTCAGTGTGGATTTTGATGGGAGAATTTTAAAAAGGGGGGCAGATGCCGGTGTCAGGGCTCCAACAAATCCACCTCCATTCAAATCATAAATCTCTAGCCGCATCTCTCAAAAGTAAAAAAAAAAAAAAATTGATTAGAGCGGCCATGTTGGTGTTAGTTAGGTGCAGCTGACACTAAAATACATCCTTCATTTCTCCCTTGACTCTGGACTTCCCCCCCACCCCCTGGATGTATATTCTCCAATGGGACACATCTATAACCAAGAGTCATCAATCATGCTCTCCAGTAATAATCTTGTGCGCCAACAGCTTTGGGCTGCCAAGGTGATTATCTGAGGCATTTAAGGAATGCACTGCTTTCCCCCCCCCACTTCCTTTCTGCTGGCAACTAAAAAGACCAAAGGAGTATTGAGCAAACTGGCCAAATGAGAGGGAAGCGTCAAGCGGGGAAATAGTCTTGGATTCTTGTGTAGGCACAAGAGGGCAAAGCCTAACCCCATTTGGATGCCACTGAACCTGATCTAGTCAGGTGGGAAGAGTCCTGTAAAACGGGGACAAACAATAAGGGGCTAACTGAACTCTTCCCCTGTAGATTCTGGCTGTTCGGTCGGAGAGCAGGCCAGGAATCGACTGAGGTCACTTTACCGGGAAACGACACCTCTTTGTGGTTGGCGATTTGCCTCTTGATGGTCCACCATTTGCTCCGAAGCCACTGGGGTGAGCGGACGCTGCTCCAGCCTTCAGCCAGCAAATCCCAGTTGATGCCGTTTTCATCTGCGACCTCTAGCTCTGCTATTCTGACAGGATCACACGCAGAAAGAAATGGTTCCTTTTAACAAATATTAGCCTTCAGGGATGCACGTATGCATGCACACACACGCATGCATGCACGCACACACACATACACACACACACCTCAAGTAGCCTCTGTCTGCAAATAGTCCAGCCCAGTGCTGTGTACACCAAAGCTGCACAACAATAAATCCGGCAGGGCAAATCAAGGAGTTTGGGAAGCAAAATATCCAGGGAATTAGTCCAGAAAGCCGGAAAGAAGGCAAGGAACCCAGGAAAGTTCAAATGTCGGCATTCCACTCTTCAGGGACTCAATGTTTGTTCCCAACAAACGCCCCTCCCCACAGGGTCTCCTTAACCCTCGTCCCCCTGCTGTGCCTTGGGAAGAGGGGCGGGGGGGGGGCACTCCCCTCCTGAGTAGCCGGCTCAGTCTGCGCTGTTCCCGCCTTCTCTCCACTCTCTGTGCTCTCGGATCAGGAGGGGGTGGTCCTTGCTCTTTGCCTGAGCTCTGCCTCTCATGTTCATCCTGACCCTGTTCCTCCCCGCCTAATCCCGAAAGGCCATGGCCTGGCTGGCCTTGCCCTTCCCCATTTTCCTCCGAAGCCAACCAAGACCGCCCCCACAATCTCTGTTGGCTCAGCTTCCAGCTCCTCTTCCCCCGCCGGTTCCGGCCCCGGAGGGGGGGGGGGGGGGGGGGGGGGGGGGGGCATGACACAATGCATTTAAATTAATTGGTCTCTCTCAAGCCAACCTGGATCCCAGGTAACAATCCGGAAGCATCCGAGCAGCTTTCTGGGAAAGGGACGCAGGGAGGGTTTCTCATTGGCGGCTTCTAGGAATTGGTTCACTGCTTCCCCTGTCTCCCCTATATCTTTTCTTTTTTTGTTCTTTTCCGATTTTTCTGGTGGTCTCCTATCCTTTCCTATTTTTTAAGATCGGCCAAAGTTGGCAGTGTGCTGCCACCTACAGGTGGTCCTCGGCTTACAACAGTTCATTTAGTGACTTGTTCAAAGTTATGGTGGCACTGAGGAAAAAAGTGACTGACTACCATTTTTCATGCTTACAACCGTTGCTGCATCCCCCCAGGGTCGCGCGATCCAATTTTGGACGCTTGGCAACTGGTATTTATGACGGTCGGCGTGTCCCGTGATCCCCTTTGGTGGTCAATGAGGAAGCCAGATTCACTTAATGACCGTGTTTCTAGGTTAAAAACTGAGGTCAACCGCTGTGGCAGGAAAGGTCATAAAATGGGGTCAAACGGGCTTAGCAAATGTCTCACTTAGCCACATAAATGTTTTAGGTCGTAATTCGAGGACCACCATTGTACCGGGAACGCCCGAATACTTAAACAAGACATTCCTGGGAGCCTCGAGCAGAGGAGACATGGCTGGGAGAGGCTCCGTGCGTCCAAAGGAAGCCCTTGTGGGAGGCTGGTCTCTCCCGCCGCCCCCAAGGCCACCCCTCCCCCCACAAGCCCAGCGGTGCAAACCTGAGGATGAGGTTGATTTCGTCCTCCTTGGTCCACTCGGTGCCTCCACTCTGCTTCCAGTTGAGGTAGTTGAGCCACTTGGAGCGGCACTGCTTCTCCGACCGGCTCCCCACCCGCTCGGCCACTGCGGCCCAGGAGACCCCCTGCGTGACGATGTCTCCGGGCTCGGTGCTCGTGAGTTCGTGGACCACTTCGGCGAGTCTCTTTTCTTCTTTCTCCGTCCATTTCCCTGAAGGGGAAACGATCCAAACAGCCGGAGCTCTTAGACTTATCGCATTTTGGGGAGGATAAGACGCGCCTAGCTTTTGGGGAGGAGAACAAGGGGGAGAAAAAATGGGCCTCTGCCTCCCAGCCATCGGCCTCCTTGCAGCAAACAGCCTGTTTCAGCTTCAGCACAGCCTGATTAGCACAAGCAGCTGATGGTCGGTTGGATCGGCCTCCCGACAATCAGCTGTTTCAGGCTGCAGGGATCGCCATTGCCTATTGCCGTCTCTGTGCGCCCCGTTTTCGGAACAGGCAGAAAATGGGGCACGTGGAGGCTGAAAATTGGGCGCGGTATGCAGCCGATTCTGAGACACATAATTCACTGTCACCCTTGAGCCTGGTTTCCCACCACCCCTCATATTCTCCAACGAAACACGTTCATAGCCAAGAGTCATCAATCATGCTTCTCCAATTAGAAATTTGCGGACATAAATTCTGGTAGCTTAGCTATAATCTTTGCAAGATAAGAACGGAATGCACTTTTGGCTCCAAACTGCTGTCCCGCTCTTCCAGGTTGCTGCCCCCTCCTCTTCTGTTCATGGCAACTCTCAAACAGGCATAGAAATGGTTTAGGAGTCGACGCTAGTCTCCTGAAGTCGACGTAGGTGCCCTGCGTGCCAGGCCAGTATAGCAGTATGGCTAGAGTTTCCTTGGCAGGTGTTTTAATCGCCGTACCTGTGTTGCAGGTGTCCTTCATCAGTCGGCAGCGGTCTTTTACAGATGAAGCGCTCCGTCCGAGAGCGGCTCCTATCGTCGCCCAGTCATTCCCGTGCTTGATTCTTAATCTAAAAGGGGAGGAAAAGCGATTAATTTTTGCTCGTCGGGGCTGGGGAGATCAGCTGCTGCAGGGTGGGCTAATCTACACGGATGGGAATAGCAGCAAAGAAGACGAGATCATTGTTGCAAAATGTTGTTTTCTATAAAGGGAGCACGGAACAGTTCAGCTCTATATGACCACACAGAGCACGGAATCAACGAAGCTTTTCCTAAGCAAGTTTTCTGCCCCAAACAAAGCTGAAAGGCCTCCCTATGCCAATGCAAAGGCTTTGTGTGTGTGTGTGTGTGTGTGTGTGTGTGATGACAGTTCATTCACACAGTTCATTTGGAGTATGTTCCTTTTCTTCCCTTGAGGGTCAATTCAGGAGTCTTCACTTGTCCATCTAAGAAGAAACCCAAGTTTCTTGAATGGGATACATGAACGATTGGCAACATCCGGTTGAAATAAAACTTACTCTTTCAGTTTTTCGATCTCTTCGGGAGTATACCTGTTTAAACATGGAAACAGTATATTTAATGAAGATGGAAATATACGTTCGGAAAACAAATTTATCTCGGGACACTATCTTGAGGAGAGCTTGAGGATCAAAGGGAAGTCCGAGGTCTCCTGTCCTTTGCTATCTTGCGTACAATTTGCTACCCTGTTTTCCCGATAATAGTCCTATCCTGAAAGTAAGTCCTAGCTTGATTTTTTTTTACACATGTGCCCAATATAAGCCCTACCCCCAAAATAAGCCCTAATTAAGATCCCGCCCACTCCAGAGTGGACAGGTAAGAATTAAACCAGGGTGGGGATGGGGTGGTGGTGGAGCTGCCCCACTACTTACCTTTGGACAGGTGTACCCAGGCCTCGTACGCCCCGACACCTGCCTTGCCAGCCCATTTTTTCTGCAGTCGGCAAGGCAGGCCAGGCTTTCCTGAAGGCCTCTGGAGCCGAGAACAAAGCTCTGGATCGATCCAGAGCTCTGTTATCGGCTGCAGAGGTGCTTAGGAAAGCCTTGCCGGCTGCAGAAGTAGTAGTTCCTGAAGGCCTCCGACCGCGAAAAGGAGGCCTGGGGTAACACATGCAAGTGAGGTTAGTCAGTGGAGGACGTCCCCCGAAAATAAGATATGGTGCCGTTTTCGTGGCAAAAAAAATAAAATAAGACAGGGTTTTATTTTCGGGGAAACGTGATAGTTTCCCATTGTTGGAAATCGTGATTTTAATGATGATGATCCCTGTGAAGACGCCACCCATGAACCTCTCTCCTCCACCTCCTTTGGATTGGTGCTCAGGATATGTGCTAGGAATGGGTGGAAGTTCATTTGGATTAATCTCCCAGATCTTCCAGTGAACTTCAGCGCACGAGAAAAGATTTCTATTTCCCCAATGTTTGGCCTTATCTCTAATATGATATATATATATTATTATATCAAAATAGTTCCCTGGTCAGTTCCTTCATTATGACTTCCGAACATTTTAAAGCCTGTGCTCCTCTCTTCCACCTAGAACCTGGGGCCCTGGAGCGGTTCCCAGCTCACACTCCTCCCCTTCGAGTCAAACCTTAGGAAGGTTCATACTTGCCAACGTGGTTTCGGTCATCGTACATGCGAAGGACGCGTCTATAAACAGCAAAGAGAGGCCGGTTCAAACCCCAGGCGATGGTCCTGTAGAAATCTTTCCTTTCATCTTTCGACATCTCAAAAATGATCTCGGTGGCATCTTTGATTCCACGGGCCTGTTTACACACAGAGGACAGTTTCAGTTTCCCTCCCTTGACAGGAAGTTAAAACTGGTTTTCTTTTCTTTTTTCCGAACAGCCTCCCCCAAATAAGTAGGGCAATCCAAACTCTAATCAATCTTAGTCACTTCCTCTTCATGATGACAAATTTGGGGGGCAGGATTGGATTTTGCAGGTTTAAGACAGTGGCTGAACAACCCAGGTTTTATACTATTGCTTGGTTATACAATAATTGTAATAACTACAGGTTTAATATGAAGTTAAACTGAGACGGAACTGATGTTTTTTTTCCTTTCTGAAAAATAACAACTAGCAACCAGGAAAAGGTGCAAAATTCATTTCCCTGGAAATCAACATGGAACAAATGACCTCTTATTTCGAATGGATTTTAAGATCAAAACAAGGATGTTCAAATCCATAATCTTTTTTATACATACATACATACATACATACATGCATGCATGCACGCACGCGCACACACACACAATTATAAACGAATCCAGCTAAAAAGTTCTTTGTAGCTGGCTCATTGAGGGGGACAGGCTGATTAAGGAATTGGGCTGACTTGGGCCTCCTCGTGCACTTTTAAAGAAAAGGTTGAATCAACATCAGTCAGGATCAAACTGAGGTTCAGGATGTCCCGATTTAAGATTTACTGGCTTCATGACAACTACGGAGTCTTTGATTTAAGGCTATGAGAAGGTCAGACAGTCCCACATTAAACAAAAGCACCATTCATTATTTGGTTAAATGGGTAAGTAAACAGTCTGGATGCTGCTTAACCAGATTTATCGCTTTATAAGCTCCTGCAAACTCAGATGAAGAGTGTAGCCTCTTCACATATGGAGCGAAAGGGACGCATCCGTACCCAGAAGGGAGTCATTCCTGGAAATTGGGGGCTACAAGAGAGATGGGAAAACTCTACGGAATCCCACTTATAAAACCTCTGAAACCCATCCGACGGAAGAGACCAACGTCTGAAACTAGGAGGCATATTGAGAGCAACACAAACCTTCAAATAACGCTCAATGTTACTCATCAAAATCTGAATTTCTTCCTTCGACCACATGCCCTGTTTCCACTTATGACCTTAAAAAGGGAGAAGAAGCTGTCACACACAGACACCCCACCAGCAGTTCAACTTACGGGGAACGATTAGCACAGAGAAGGGGAGAAGGTTTCTTTACATCGGGAGTCCCCAAACTTGGCAACTTTAAGACTTGTGGACTTCAACTCCCAGAATCCTGGGAGTCCACCAGAAGTCCACAAGTCTTAAAGTTGCCAAGTTTGGAGACCTCTGATTTAGATCCACTTCTAATCCAACAGATAAATTTTAGTAATCGGTTCGTAGCCACTATAACATCATTTTTTTTTTAATATACGCTGACAGAGAATGGCAATTGTTGGGTGGCTTAAAACATAATGTAACGATCATTAAATCAAAGTATAATTTTTTTCAATGCTTTTCCGAGTCATGCAAAGTGGTTTTATATCTGTGCACCCAATTCAATAAGCGCTTATCTGTTATATTTTCATACATGCAACAAAAGTCATACTATATGTACACAAATGCTGGCATTTAGCACTGATAATAAATGCCACAAATTGGATTTCTAGTATTTCTAGAGAAGGAAAAAAAATGTAAAGGGTGGAATGCCAGGGAATCCAATCAAATACAAGTTATAATAATTTAGCCATACGCTAAAAAATACTAAATATAAATATTCATTAGCTCTTATTGCAAAATAAGCTAGCATATTGTCCTCGAGTTATTTTCATAAAACAGATTGATTCCTCTCACAATAAGGTCATACTTTTCCATCATGCACCAAATACTCACAGGCCTCCCTCCTGTGGAAGGCCCCGAGATGCCTCCACAAATGGAAAATGCAAACTTGCCTTTGTTTGTTAAACAATCCTTGTCTTCTTTGGTTGTAAACCAGGCCTGACTGACAGCCGAGACTTCTTCGTTGGCTAAAGAAGAGATTTCGTCCAGTTGCTCGTTCTGAAGGATCTGGGAGAGGTAAACAGGAAGCCCTTTAAGCCACGGCTCCTCGGACCACAACCGCCTCAAGATGGGTGGACGTCAGCACTCAGAACAATAAACTATATGTTTTATATACTGTCAAGTCCTGCCAGAGCCATGGCCGAAGACTGCATGGGACCTCTGTAGGGGCTGTTTCACGTACCTGAATCTGAGTCACCGTTCCTTCGTTAACCTCATGGTCAGCTACTTCCGTGGTGGCAGTCATGGTCACCTCAAAGCTCTGGTCACTTTCTGAAACTGGAAAGCACAGCAAGGATCGCTGTAAATGTTCTTCTCACCTGCGCACAGCAGCTACCCTCCCTCCTTGGGGCACATGAGCTGGGTCTCCTTGCTATTTCTGCCTTGCCACCTGCGTCCTTTAGGGCCAGTTTGGTCTAGTGGTGAAGACACCAGGAGACGGAGAGCTCTAGTCCCGCTTTAGCCATGAAAGCCAGCTGGCTGATCTTGGGCCAGTCCCACTCCCTCAGCCCAGCCTACCTCACAGGGTTGTTGTTGTTTTGGGGAAACCTGACAGGGATGCTCTAGATAGAAGGAGGAAGGTGTGCTGGATATCTTTGTTGCCTTTGAGTTGCTTGCAAAAATAATAAAAGTGATATATGAATGAAAGAATGAATGAATGACTGGAGTGGGTGGAGGGATGAGTGGATGGATGGAAATGAATGGATGGATGGATGAGTGGATGAATGGATGGTGAATGAATGGAGAAATGAGTGGGTGGATGGATGAGTGGATGAATGGATGGTGGATGGATGGTGGATGGATGAATGAGTGGATAAATGAGTGGGTGGATGGATGAGTGGATGAATGGATGGTGGATGGAGGGATGGATGGTGGATGGATGGATAAATGGTTTACAGACTGGGGTAAGGAATAGTGGATCACTTGACCAGCCAAACCAAAATTCCCTTCCCCCTCCTTTTCTAGACCCTCCTCCTGGTCCACCCGTGTGGTCTCCCTCGAGCAGCCCCCCTCCCTCCCGCGGCCTCCGCAGAGCCTCCCAAAGGCCCCCTTACTTGGAACCGCGACGACCGAGATGCAGGGAGGGTTGCCTTCCACGCTCTCGTCATCTTCCGAGGATAGGCAGAGCCTTTTGTGGGGGGGAGGTTCGGGGCTGTCTTCGGAGTCTACGCCGTCTGCCTCTAAACGCCCGCAGAGAGAAGGAGGAGAAGGACAGCCATGAGACTTGGGAGGGAACCATATCGGACATGATTATTATCTCCTGCGGAACTGCCTGCTGCAGGATCAGGGAAGGCCGCTGCCTGACCCTCAACTGGAAATCCTGGGGAGAAACGGAGTCCCTGAAAAAAGGGCCACTTTCGAATAAGTTCCTGAAAAATATTCATCTTGGTCTGCTCTTGGTCTGCGGTACACAATCCATTTTTTTCTTCTTCTTATGACCCTTTAATCGCTTAAATGTGGAGTTTAAATTCAAGGTGGAGTCGGGCAACTGAGTGGAGCTGAGCATTTACTGGCCGGATGCCTTTCCTGACACCTGTGCGGAGTGCACAGCAGATGTTTTCTCTTTGCACCAAGAGAAATATCTCCCGCTACTTAGGATCGAACTCTCAACTTCCCAAGGGGGAGGAGAGCGTCTTCACCTCTAGACCGCTGTGCCATCCACACCTTTACTCCTTTTTCCATCCCCAGAGACTAGCAGCTACTGTTTAGTGTTGTGATTCTTCGCTTATAAGAAAAAAATAATTAAAAAATGCATTTAATGGAGAAAAAGTTCAAAAAGTCTGACCTGCTCTCTGGTATCATGCCCTCTAAAGAATGAATGGCCTAATTTCCTTTTTTTTTTTAAAAGTGCAACTTCCAGTTCTAATATTTTGCCCACAATATCATTAAAATGAATTTTCTTTAGTCCAATTTTCATACACGTTAAAATCTAATGGTTTAAGAGTCGTTCGTTGAAATAACCAAACCGACATAAGGAAGCATTTGTTGCCTTAATGTACAATTCCAATAAGAGTCATCAAAGCTACTGTGCAATTGTTGTGCAATTAACGTGTAATTGATGTGGTCTCACCCTCCCACATCCAATTCCACTCTCAAGCAACTTGAATGTAAGGAGCAAAGTGTGCAAAACTCTTTGCTGGAGACCCCAAAAATTGGTTTTAGAGGGAAATGTCCAGACTGGTTCAGGGCTTGGCAGCTTCCTCAGAGGTTAAAGGCACTGAGCTTGTCAGCTGGAGAGCTGGCAGCCCAGGTTTGAGACCCGAGCACTCTGTGACGGAGCAAGCTCCCATTCCTTGCTCCATCTCCTGCCCACTGAGCAGTTCGAAAGCAGGCAAATGCGAGTAAGATGAATAGGTACCACTTTGATGGGAAGGGAAGAGTGCTTTCTGCGCCTTTGGTGTGTAGCCCTGCTGGCCTTCGGACAAGGCTGGCTCCCTTGGCCAAGAAACGGAGATGGGCACCATGTCCCAGAATTGGACACAACCAGATAGGGAAAGTTTTACCTTCTTTTTAACCAAACTTCATCAGTGAGATTACAGTCTATTTTGAGGGGTGGCATTCAGGAAGTGAAGTGGGTGTCTTAAGAAAATGCAAGTCTTAACTCACCCATTGCATACCCTTGATTTTTTTTTTTTAAAGGACATTCCTGAAATTCCTCTAGGAAACTAAATTTCCCAGTGACACCGAAAATGGTTTCTCCCAAATTTTATTACCAATCGAAGCCATTCGTCCCACCCAGTTGTGCAACTAAGCCCAATATCCTGGTCTGAGGAGTGATTGTAATTTGAAATAACACGGATGAAAGCATACAGTCAAATAACAGGTGTTCAATACCATCCTGAGGGCAGTGAAGAATAAGGTTGCCTTGGGTATCTTGTGTCAGAGTCACGGAATTCACGGTTTCCACTGTTACTGTGTCAGATTCTTCTTCAACTGTGGTCATAATCAAATCTACAAGAGAAGAATCACAGATTAGCCATAGATAGGGTGGTCGTTTGTTCACCAGTAAAGGAGAATAGTGGAAGCCCAGGGTTGAACTCTGGGGTCCTTGGTGCTCTCTGAACATGGCCGTTATTCTCTTGCAGACATTTCATTATCCAAAATAGGTAACATCACCAGAGTTAAGTCTACTCGCACTGACGATGTTACCTAGTTCAGGTAATGAAACGTCTGCAAGAAAACAACCAAGCTCAGAGAGCACAGAGGAGCCGGTAGTTATTTACTTGGAACCTGCAACCTACTTATTTAGCTCAGAATCAAAGTGACCCTCATTACTTCATGGACAGTAAGTCAAAACAACCATGTTACAGACCTAGACAGAAAACAGCTGCTCCTTGTTGGGTTAATGGGGGGCCTTTACTATTTCTTGCACCTTCTCATTCACAACTTCCAAAACAAACACTTATCCCTAAGAGCAAAGAAGAGCCGGCAGGTCCCTTGAGGCGATGAGGACCAAGAAGAAACTCCCATGCTTCAAGGAAGAGAAAGTTGAGGGACAGACGGGGGGAAATGCAAGGGTTGGCTAGGAGTTTGGAGAGCGTGGGGTTCACCACCCCACTGCTCCAGCATCCAGGAGAGAGGGCTGCCCTATCTCTGTTGAAGCATCTCCAGGGAAGGAAAGCTCATCGGTTCCTGAGGCAGATCCGTTCCCTTGCTGATCATCTCTTACCATCAAGGTGTTCTGACCTAGACCTTCCCAAGACCAGGAAGCCGACTCCTCGTCCTGACGAAACCCCTTTTATTTAGGTTAAAGGGAATTCCTCTCCAGCAAAGTCATGGCAAACGGTCTTTCAAGAGATCTCACAACTGCAGGCCTTTATCAGGCTGCGAGAGTTGCCAGGCTGATATCTTCCGAACACCACTCTGTAGCAGCAATGACTTGGCAAGGAGTCAGGAACAGATCTTTGCCCTAATGAATTGAACTAATTGTCTCCTGCAAACCCCACTCCCCTTTGGCTCCTCTTTATTCCTTCTGGGAGGGGCCATTCACCATCCACTTGTGCCTTTACTCCCGAGTCGACCCTTGTTCGTTAGCTGTTCCCTTCTCCTGGCAGCTCTGCGCATGAGCACACTGGGAACAGGCTCCAGCTGTTCTTCTCCCCCACTGATCTCCGACTCTGAAGGCAGCTGATAACTGTCGCATAGCCCTGGTCCCATCTCTGCATTTTCTTGGACCGGAAAACCTCCAAGGCCCTCCGGCCATTCTTTGTGTGGTGTGGAACTACCAAGGCATACATGGAGACGTCTCGGTGCTGCCGTAAATCAAGGATGTGCAAAACATGCCGTCATAGAAAGTTCTGACCTGCCACTGTTTGGACCTTGAAACTAGATGCACAACATATTATGGAAGTAGTAGTTGAATCTTGAAACTGTTCTGAGGTCAGGAAGGTTTAATTTCCAAACTGGACCCTTCTGGACCCTCCAGAATGCTACAGAATTGTTCCCACCTCCCTGGGGAAGAATTTCTAAATTTGCCATGAATTATAGCGCTGACTGTTGGCTCAGCATGCTCCTTTCTCTAATCCCACAGAGAGCATTCTAGCCTCCAGGGTTAGCGACACCTGTCGCCGTTTTAACCTGAGCTGCAAACCAAACCGAGACAAGTTGCAGTTTGCGAACTGTAGCATCTTGCCTTGCAAGGCTCATTGACTGAAGCAGAATGCAGGCGGTCCTTGAGTTACGGCCCCAATTGAGCCCAAAATTTGCACTGATAAGTGAGGAATTTAAGTGAGTTTTGCCCCATCTTACCTTTCTTGCCAAGGGGATCATGTGACCCCCTTGGGACATGGTGACGGTTGTAAATGTGAGTCGGTTGCCAAACACCTGAATTTTTATCACGTGACTGTGGAGATGTTGTAACAGTTGTAAGTGTGAAAAAGGTTCATAAGTCACTTTTTCAGTGCCACTGTAACTTTGAACTGTCACTAGTCGAGGATACCTATATATCTTTACTGCAATATCCATACTGTTCCGATAAGAGATTTTCTTCTCTTTGTCCTGCCTTCCTTCTTAAGTCCCCCCCCCTCCCTTGCCTAGAAGTCAGTTCCAGCAGGTTGGTCTTTCACTACAACGTTCATTTCAATCGACATATTTAAATGTAACAGAAGATTAAAAAAACCAAAAACAAATAGTCCTCTCCATAAATCTGTTTTCAGAGCCCACAAAAAGCTGTTGCAGCTGATGGCACCTTTGAGATTCAGCATGAAGCAATGTTTTGAAGAGCAAAGTTGATCTATCTGAGAACTGAAATGTGCTCTGAAACACTATTATTGTATATTCTGTGCAGGTGTAAAATTAAAGGATGTTTTTGAAAATACTGTGGAAGAAAATAGATATTTTGAAACATAGTTTTTATTTGTCAAAGCATTAAAGCAAGTAGCATACTTTATGTAAACATACCAACTGAAAAGATGGAGGTCGTTTATTTCAGAGTATTTAGTGGTAAAATATCCATATATCTATCTACTTTATGTTTTACAATGTCATGGTTTGCTTGTCAATTGTTCTCTTGTGAAAATCCCAATATTGTTTATGAAGTAGAGAAATCCTACACAAGAACACCCAGCAGCCACAATAACTCAAAACCTCTCAGCCTGAATGACAAAACAATCAAATTCAGGAGAGGGTTTCTTTTATGTTAAAATACCACTGACATACAACTAGCCTAGTGGTTACTTATACTAGAAAAGTAAACTATATTAAATATTAGAAAATCTTTTAGTCTCAATCCACAAACTTCAATAACTCAGTACCCCAAGATTTTGCAGAGAGAGAGGGGGGGAAGGAGGGAGGGAGGACAGATCATCAATGTGGACAGAATATGTGAATGTTAATTTTCTGTAGTGTAAGTGTTGTTTGTAAAATTACCATTTTACATTTTATGCACTGGAGACAAATTCCTTGTGTGTCCAATGACATTTGGCCAATAGAGAATTCCATTTCTAGTTTCCTTTTCCATACTTACAGACATATATGCATATTGCTTTTTATACTTAATCATACCAAAAACAATTAGATTTGTGGCCTCCCAACTCCCAATGGCTCTGGACAAGAAATAATATAAAACAACATTTTAAAAATGGAAGATAAAGAAAGCAGGTGGCAAGTACAATGAAACCAGGAGCCTTTCCTTGCCAAAGGCCTGGGAATTTCAATATCATCCGTCCGTCATCTATATATACCGTTCATTTGTATATATCTATCTATATGTCTATATCTATTTATATCTATATACACACACACACACAAAAGAAGAGACAGACATCATGATCTCCGGAACTTAAAATATATTATCCAGTGTTTGTCTCTTCTTTTATAGCTACACCTGAAACTAGTATTTTTAGGATAGTTTGCAACACACATGCATGCATATAAACACACATACGTGTATGTATGTGTGTATGTATGTGTGTGTGTGTGTGTGTGTGTATATATATATATACACACATACATACATATGGACAGATATAGATGCGATATATATGTATATATGTGTGTGCGTGTATGTGTGTGTGTTTGTGTGTGTAATATATATATATACATATGGACAGATATAGATGTGATGTGTGTGTGTTTGTATGTGTGTGTGTTTGTGTTTGTAATATATATATATACATATGGACAGATATAGATGTGATATATATGTATATGTGTGTGTGTGTTTGTATGTGTGTGTGTTTGTGTAATATATATATATACATATGAACAGATATAGATGTGATATATATGTATATGTGTGTGTGTGTTTGTATGTGTGTGTGTTTGTGTAATATATATATATACATATGAACAGATATAGATGTGATATATATGTATATGTGTGTGTGTGTTTGTATGTGTGTGTGTTTGTGTAATATATATATATACATATGGACAGATATAGATGTGATATATATGTATATGTGTGTGTTTGTATGTGTGTGTGTTTGTGTAATTTATATATATACATATGAACAGATATAGATGTGATATATATGTATATGTGTGTGTGTGTGTGTTTGTGTGTGTGTGTAATATATATATATACATATGGACAGATATAGATGTGATGTATATGTATATGTGTGTGTGCGTGTATGTGTGTGTGTTTGTGTAATATATATATATACATATGAACAGATATAGATGTGATATATATGTATATGTGTGTGTGTGTTCGTATGTGTGTGTGTTTGTGTAATATATATATATACATATGGACAGATATAGATGTGATATATATGTATATGTGTGTTTGTATGTGTGTGTTTGTGTAATATATATATATACATATGGACAGATATAGATGTGATATATATGTATATGTGTGTGTTTGTATGTGTGTGTGTTTGTGTAATATATATATATACATATGGACAGATATAGATGTGATATATATGTATATGTGTGTGTGTGTGTGTGTGTAATATATATATATACATATGGACAGATATAGATGTGATGTATATGTATATGTGTGTGTGCGTGTATACACACGCACACACACTCACAGAGACACACGTACACACCCGCACTGGTGATGTTCCCTAGTTGGGTCATGTCTGCCAGCAAAGGAGCCGCCTGAGGCCCCCAAGGGCCCTTCACATACATGTCCATGCATGACACAACACACCCCCCCTGCACCCCCCAGACGTCCAGGATGCCTTGAGCGAGCCGCCCCCCCCCCCCCCTGCCTGGCCCCCCCCCCCCCCCCCCCCCCCCCCCCGGCCCCCCCGGGGGGGGGGGGGGGGGGGGGGGGCGCGCCAAAGGGGGGCCCCCGGGGGGGGGGGGGAGGAAAGGAAATCTACCCCACGGGGAGAGAATTGATATGTATATATATATTCGTATGTATATAGCTATAGATTTCCCCCCCTCCGGAGGACCCCGAGGCGGCCCCGTGCCTCCCCCTCCCTCCCCCCTCCCCCCGGGCGCTGACAGGCACCTACTTCCTGTTTTGGGTCCGGGCACTCGAGAGGCCAGGATGGAGGCTCCGAAATGCCAGGATGATGGAGCCGCCACGCCGCCGCCGCCGCCGCCTCCCTCGCCAGCAGCAGCAGCAGCAGCAGCAGCAGCAGCCCAAGCGGCCCAGGCGAAGCAGCAGCAGCAGCAGCAGCAGAGGCCGCGGAGCGGAAGGGGGCGGCGCCGGAGGAGCGGGCACAGAGAGGCCCGCGCAGAGCGGACCGGAAGCGCCCCCTCTTTCTCGCCCTCCCCCGCCCGTTCTCCTCGTCTGCTCCGATGGCCGCCTTCCTCCCTCTCCCCCCTCCCCTTTTCAAAACCGTCTTTTTCTCCAGGGAGACGCCTCGCCTGGGAGAGGGGCTGGACGAGCGGGCTGGGGGTCGGGGGGGTGGGCTTGGACCTGGAGGGACTTCAACCTGGGTCCCCCTCCGCCTTGCTCTTTAAGGGCATCCCCTCTGGCCGGGATGGTCTGGTCTGCGCTTGGATGGGAGACCACGAGGAGATCCCAGGCACAGAGGGAAAGGCGGTGGAAGCCTCTCCTGTATCCCGGCCCATGCCTGGACACTTTATTGGAACGAAATTTGCTTATGAGCCAATCCGTCATCCCTGTAGATGACATACGCTCAATAACAACAACAATAATAATTACAACAATAACAACAACTTGGTTGATACCTAGGATGCTGGCAAAACCCCGTATCAACCATCAGCACCAGTCAATGATATTTGTGATACATTTTTAAATGTTCAGTTGACTGAGTTTCATGTTGAATGAATAAAAGAGATAATAATAATAATAAAAATAAAAATAAATTATATCCTCTGACGCTATCTGAACAGTTCCTATGTCCTTGGTTAGGACTCGATCTGTTGAGCTATCAACCAGCCCCAAAGGATGTGAATCTCACTAAAGATTAAATAATCATAATCATAATCATAATACAAACAATGTCACAACACAGTCGCTCAGATGGTCCACTGGAACTTGTGTCACTACTTGTAACTTGTGTCTGCCTGTAGCAAAGAACTGGGTGGGATCATAAGCCTGAAAAAGTGGTCGAAAATGAGCATGCAAAACTACTGTGGGACTTCCGAATACAGACTGACAAAGTTTTGGAACACAACACCCCGGATATCACGATTGTGGAGAAGACAAAAGTGTGGATCGTCAACATTGCCATACCTGTTGACAGCAGAATTGACGAGAAACAACTTGAAAAGGTCACCAGATATCAGGTCTTGAGAATCGAACTGCAGAGACTCTGGCATAAACCGGTGCAGGTGGTTCCAGTGGTACTCGGCATACTGGGTGCTGTGTCTAAAGGCCTAGGCAAGCACTTAAAAACAATTGGTGCTGACAAAATCACCATTGGTCAGCTGCAGAAGGCCACCTTACTGGGATCTGCTTGCATAATCCGCCGATAAATCACGCAGTCCTAAACGCTTTGGAAGTGTGCGACTAGTGATTTGTGATACGAAGCCCAGCATGGTTATCTCGTTTGCTGTGTATACTGTCATTTTTTGTATGATGATGATGATGATGATGATACATGACCGAGTTGCTAAATTAATCCACTGGTCTTTATGTAAAAATATGCCTTACCTGTATCTGAAAAGTCACGTGAACACAAAGTGGAAAAAGTTGTTGAAAATGAGATGGTGAAGGTCTGGTGGGACTTTCGAATACAGACAGATCATCATTTGGAGCACAACATGCCAGATATCACAGTTGTCAAAAACCGAAACGGGGGGGAAAATCATGAAATATCGCGACCTGCCCATTGAAACTATGCAGTTATGGATGAAACATGTCACAGTGATGCCCGTTGTCATCGCGGCACTTGGCACCATGTCCGAGAATACAAAACAGGAAAATACAAAAAAGAGAAAAAAGAAAAAAGTGCGAGTGAGAAATTAAAAAAAAAAAGGAAGAAGAAAAAAACCCTTTCCTTTCATCCCAGCAGACAAAAAACAATTTTAATACATTATTTCCCTCTTTAAATAAAACATAACTTCTCCCCTAGCTCATCTTTTAGATAAGGAAAACAAGAGACAAATGGTACATCAATCAATCTTTGTCAGCAGATCTTGACTAAGGGCAACCAGATGGGACTCTTTCTTTTAACCCTGATCGAAAAGCCAACCTCATCTCAATCAATCAGGATAGAACTGAAAGGAACTTTGGAGGTCTTCTAGTCCAACTCAAGCAGGAAATATACTATTTCGGACAAGTGACTATCAAGTGTTTTTGTGAAAGCCTCCAGTGATGAAGCGCCCACCATTTCTGGAGGCAAGTTTTCCCACTGGTTATAAATGCTGCCTGATTTTTTTAAAAATTATTCTTTAACCCCTTCAAAAAAAAAATACCCCTCACTTTGCTTCTCTCAGTTCAACATCCAGCGTTGATTCTCCTAGCCAAAGTGGTCTTGCTAGCCTGAGAAAGCCAGGAAGCGTCCAGACGTGCCATATATTATTTTCTGTGAGCAATTCCTGATTGATTCTCTGTAACTACTTGCCATTTTTACTATGATTACTTTCCTACAGTCTGGTAACCACTAGATGGCTCTCATCACCACATTTATTTATTTGATTTGCCAATTGTTTACAAGATAAGTATAAGTGTATACATAGTTGTGAATGCATGAAATGGGTACATATAAGAAAAATAAAAGAAGAATAAGAGAAACAATAGGACAGGGACGGTAGGCACATTTCGGCTTTTCAGCTCTGTAATTTCCGAAGAGTCCTTTTGGATTCTTGTTTTATTAAGGTTCCATTATTGAGAATAAATGTATCACACCCATTGTCCATAGAACTGTGCTATCTAAAATACTTGGTACCAAGCACCCAGCCTGGCATGGAGGAGAGATCCAGCACAAAGTTAGAGGTAGGGATGACCCACCTAAGTTCTTTGGATCCCTATCTAATTGCTCCCAGGAGTAGCAATAGCAATAGCCCTTAGACTTATATACGGCTTCATAGTGCTTTTACAGCCCCCTCTAAGCTGTTCACAGAGTCAGAATATCACCCCCAACAATCTGGGTCCTCGTTTTTACTGACCTGGGAAGGACGGAAGGCTGAGTCATCCTTGAGTAGGTCAGGATTGAACTGCTGGCAGTCGGCAGAGTTTGCTTGCAATGTTGCATGCTAACCACTGCTCCACCATGGCTCTATCTATCTATCATCTATCTATCTACCTATCTATTTATCTATCAATCATCAGTGGGCAGAGTCAGCCTGCAATACTGCAAGCTAACCACTGCACCACGATGAGTAGGTTTTCAGACTGGGGGAGATTCCTGCATTATAGGCAGAACATAATTAGCCTGAACTCTGCACATCTGGGTCTGGTTGTTTGCACCTGACATTTCTTGACTTGCTGAAAAGACCACTCAGTTTTCTGCTGCCGTGTTGTTTATTTATTTATTTATTAAATTGACATGGCACCCATCGCACCACTGTGGGACTCTTATGCTTGTTGTACTGCACCAGCCTTTGAGGCATGCTTTTAGGTTATCAAATGTGGGAAACCAATAACAAAAGGCTAAGATTCCCTCGTATTCAGTTTGACTTCCATCCAACCCAGGAAAATATCCAGTAGCACAAACATGTTTACTATTACGGTACTATTTTATTGTGTTTGTTTTTTTAAATTTCGCGGACCAGCCTATCAGCCTGTCATCTCCTGGTGGTCTCTCATCCATTCATCCAGCAGGGCTACGTACCCTTTGAAGCAATTCAGAACGTGTTCTACAGATATTGTGCCATATCATAGGGGAAGGAAAATTCCTGGTTTGGTCTGGATGTTGATTTTTAAAATTCTCTGCCTCGTCGTAGGCCTTTGTCTCCGATATTTCCCCCCCCCCCCAGGCCCACCATGCATGGGAAAATGTCCTTCACTCTTTTCTCACTCCCAGCAACGATTTGAATATCCTTCGGCACCTTTTTTTTTCCCGTTTCCAAAGCTGGACCTGCTTAGCGTCTGTCAGTTTAGCGTTGCCGCCCACAGATGCCCACATACAAAACAGCAGTGGGAGGTTGTATCCTGATCCGGATTTTTCCCCCCTGCAGAATGTGCTTTCTATTTTGGGAAACGACTCAGTAGGTTGGCTTCTCCAGAAACGGACAATGTTCTCAGTGACTGCAGATGAAATAGGTAGCCCCTTCCTGCATTTGGGCTCATTTCACCTTTGATTAATCCCACCTCCAATAGTTCAAAAATCTTTGAAGAAAGAAGAAGTGAGAGAAGTTTTTTTAAAACAAGTGGGGCTGTCCCAGAGAAGAAGAGGGAGTCAGTCTTTCCTCCAAAGCCCCTGAAGGCAGGATGAGAAGCAACAGGTGGAAACTAATCAAGGAGAGAAGCAACCTGGAACTAAGGAGAAACTTTCTAATAGTGAGGACAATTCACCAGTGGAACAGCTTGCCACCAGAAGTTGTGGTGCTCCAACACTGGAGGTTTTTAAGAAGAGACTGGACAGCCACTTGTTTGGAATGGCATAAGGCCTCCTGCTTGACCAGGGGGTTGGACTAGAAGATCTCCAAGGCCCCTTCCAACTCTATTCTGATTGATTATTGAGTGAGATTCAGAATAATGTCAGCTGATGCTCCGTTCAAAAATCCAGGAAAGAAATACTTAGACTCTTGTAATTAGAGAAAAGATATCTTTTATTGGAAGTCAGTGGTAGCAACAAGAAATTCTGAATCTGGGTAATTAGGCACGCACATCACGTATATCAAGGGATTGAAATGTTCCCACCCCCAACAGTTCAAACGGTTCTTCCAATTAAAAGTTGTGAACTACATCATGGGGACATCTCCAGGTGGTGATGATTAGTTGACCTTGGCTTACTCAGATAAAGGTTTGCAATTGCGCAGAGAAGAGAAAGCTAAGGAGGAATGAGAAACCCTCCCCAGTTTATACAATATTAGTTAGCAACATTTGCAGCTTACATCCCATACATTTCCCCCTTCCACCCCCCCGTTACTCATGGCAGCCAGAAAGAAGCAAAGGAAAAGAGGAAGATCTTGAAGGCTGACAATTCTGATTGATTAATAGACAGTGAGAATAATTAATCAGTGGAACAGTTTGCCTCCAGAAGTTGTGGCTGCTCCAACACTTGG